TGCGGAGAAGGTGACTTTTGAGGAAAAATCTAAAGAAAATGGAAGAGTGAGCATGGAGAATGTGTTATCAAGTCAGGACATTAAATTAAAAAGAGCAATCATTCCATTTAATCTTTCTAACAACCCTATTAGAAGCTTATTAAAAGAATTATTAATATTAATGAGATTATGACCCTCATTATAAATTATTATATTATGCTCCCAAGGAGTTGCTTGCAAATAGTTGAAACAAGAAATGCTAACTCCTCCAATAGAAGCGCTGAGATAGAGGGAAACAAAATATGTGTGAGGAGAACATGGATGGACACCTAAGCTAAGGTGCAGAGTGAGGGGAGAAAATGACACTGAGAGAGTTCTGAAGACTGGGAGGGAGTTCATCAGTCGAGGACTGGAGGGAAGAACTCTTAGAAAAATAAATGGATGTGCAAAAGCAAAGAAGTAAGTGAGAAAAGGCCTGGCAAGTGGTTTAAAAAGACTGCAGTGAAGTCTTGGTCAGGGACAGCTATAATTAAATAAGGGCATGAAGATGTTAAGGTCAGACACTAAAAGCCCTGGGAAGCACATAGGAAACGACAGATTGGCGTACCTCAAACCATCCCCAAGGCCCTTCTCTCTTGCTTCCTTTACTCTAGAGCATGTTTTGTTCAACTTTGGCACTTGATATCTTGAACCAGTTCATTCTTTGTTGGCAGGCGTGGGGGCATGGGGGGGGATGAGGAGAAGTCATGTGCATCGCAGGATGATTCTCCACCAGCTAGATGCCAGTAGCAGGCCCCCCATACCTCAGTTGTGACAACCAACAATGTCTCCAGATATTGCCTGAAATCCCCCTGTAGGGCAAAATCACCCCTGGTTATAAACCACTGGTTTGGGGGTTGAAAAAGCTAAAATTCTCATTTTTCCAGCCTCCCTTGCAGCTAGAGATGGCCATGTGGCACAGTTGTGACCAGTGAAATATGAGAGTAGATCTGCAGGAAACTCCTTCCTTTTACTGCCTTCTTTCGATCTTGAATGAAAGCAAGAACAACAGCAGCCCTGTTGCAGCCATGAGATGACAATCAAAGAAGAAAGGCCATGAGAATCACAGAGATGTTGGTTCCTACCTACTTGAGTCAATGGACCAATGCTAGCAACCACCTACCTCCACACTTCCTATTATGTGAGTAAGATCCTATGTGTTTAGGCCACCAAGCTGAGGTTTTCTATTGTTTGCAGCTGAAAACAATCCTAACTGTGAAACCATACCAAAGCATTTCGATTTTATCCCAGAGATAATGAGAATCCACTAAAGGATTCTAAAAAATAAAAAGAATTGGATTATCACATCCATAGTTTGGAAAGATCATTTTGCTACAAAACACAGACTATGAAGCAAGATTGGAGGCAGGGAGACCATGGAAAATGCCATTATAGCAAGGCAGGCAAAAACATAACGGGACTAAACCAATTCAGTAGTGGTAAAATAAAGTGGAGGGGACACATTTGAGGGACATTGAGAAGCAAAATGGACCAATCCTAAGCAATTGGATATGGGCAGTGAAGAAGATGTATCAAAGGCTAAAAATGATATCTTTGGTGTAGGTGATGCCCTAGGTGGTACACAAAAAAAGGAGCAAATTTAAAGAGAAGGACAATATTCCATTCTAGGCCAGGTTGAATTTGAAATGCTTATGACACATCCAAGTGGTAATGTTCAAGGCATTTAAACACATGGCTCTGAAAGTTAGAAAACAGTAGGGTACTGGTGATTTTTTAAATACATGTGTGATAGATTTCAAAATTTTGTATTCCAATAAAATAACATAACTTATTACAAAAGTAATATCAATGAAGTATAGAATACTTTAAAACATAGTTAAGCACAAGAAAATTAAAAACACACACTATACAACCCCAGCATCCAGGTATCATTTCCAGTAAAATATGGTTACATATACATGTGAATACACACACATAAATGGGATACTGCATATGCTGTATGGTAATGGGCTTTATTCACTTAACCGCATATCATAAACATCTTTCTACTTCAATTAATATTTGCCCATTTTTCTGACTTTTTTACTATTATAAACAATTCTGATGAGCTCAATTGTCCTCATAGTAAATTTTTTGCCTGTATCCCTAATTATTTCCTGAGGATAAATTCCTAAATGTGGAATTGCTGACTAAATGGCATGTGTGTTTTTAAGGTTTCTGACAAATGTGTCTAAGTCATTCTCTAGAGAGGTTGTAGCAATTTACAGTCCCATCAGCACTTAATGTGAGTATTCATCTCCCCACACTTTCTCCAAAACCAAAGTTATATACTTAATCACTTAAGAGAACTTGGTGAAATAAAATGTTAACCTCATTGTTGTTTTCATTTTGTATTGGTTTAAACGGCTGGAATTTGAGCTGTTTATGTTTTATCAGGGATCTGTATTTTTTCTTTGGCAAACTGCTGATTCTTGTCCTTTGTCCACTTTTCTTTTGGTATACTTACCTGTTATTGATTTGTAAGAACTCTTTATATGTTATAAACTTTAACCCTTCTTCATCACTGCTACAATTTTTCTTAGTTTGCACTTGTCATTTAATTTATGGCTACATTTTGATAAACATATTTAGAACCATTGGAATGGTCATGGTTTGAACTGGCTATTGTGAAGAATGGGAACAGGATGGATCCAAAAGCAAATAAGAGGAACCGAAGCACTATTTGAAAGGTTCAGCTGAGAATGAATGCCATGAATTTCTAATGACTTTAACCTGTAAAGATGTAGCCATATTTGGCTATTGGAGTGCAGAAGGAGAAAGCAGGATTCACTTAGAGTTAGGATTTGCCTGTTGGTTTAATCAGAGGCTGGACAAAGGAATAAAAGAGTTATGCGTATGTGTATTAGCAAGTGTGTTGCTGAAATGATGGGCTGCATGGAATAAGATAAGAGGTAACTGCTGTGCTGGAAAGAAATAGGCGGGGTCATGAGCTTCCATGTAGTTGAAGACCAGACAAAGCCTAACGAGCATATGAGGGAGCTACAAGATTAGGAAATTTTCTATAATTTTCTTCTAGCATACTTTTTGTTATTGTTTCTGATCCATTTATTCTGTTTTCTTCTTTTAAAACAATGATTACTTTTATCTGTTATATTCACATTCATACTTTAACAATTTCTTTATTCATTTTCTTTACAGTCAGGCAGTGTTCCCTATCACACTCAGAATAAATTTTCAGTTATCAAGTCTATTGATTGAATCGAACACATTTTATTTTACCCAATCTATTTTCCATTTCATTGCATTCTCTTTTAATCTTAGCCCATGCTTAAGAAAAGCATTGTCTTCCTACACCCCAAGAAATATTTAATTCTAGAATATGGAGCAGGAAGGAGAAAGGTTGGAGTGGAGAGAAAAACAGAGCTATGCACTATTTCAGCTTTAACAAGATCACAAGACACACAGTAAACACCAGACCATTCAATGAGTTACCACGCTCAGCGGTCACAACTCAGAGTCATGCTGGCCAAAATGGAAAACTGCCAGGTACCTCCTGTGCTGAGTCGAGTTCCAAAGTCCAGTACCCTATTTGCTCTCACAGGAGATATTTTCTTGCAACAGCTGATTTATAAGTATCCTTTGAGGCCTTGGAAACTTCAGACCCTCCCTGGCACTCCCATTTCATTTGGGGGTGTCTTCACTGTAGAGTTGAGGGAACCATCATTCAACTGCTTGTGAAAACATGATACCAGAGTGTCAAACGTCTCTTTTCCAGTGCCAGTGTTCTTTCTCCCAAGAATAGCTTTGAAGAAAACACAAAGCTGGGATTTCTCTGATGGATGGGTGCTATCTGCTCCCCTGCACTGATAGCACCTGAGGAAGGAGGCCCCAGGCACCAGGCTTCCTGTGGAAGGTGAGGAGCTGACTGAGGACCTGGGCCTTTGGTGATCCAAGAAAGGAGAAGCCTGGATTTGAGACACGTGCAGACAACATGTTGCATCTTGCCAGACACAAAGGAGCCAGCCAGGTATGCCCGGAGAAGTCTTCCTTTCTAAAATCAGGTTGTACGGCACACAAGATCCTCTCACAAAGAGAAGCCATGAGCTTCCCTTATCTTCGGCCCTGGCTCAGATTTTCAATTGTAAATAGAAATGCCAGGTTTTGTGTCTGAACTCTTAGGTCCCCGCATATGAGCCCTGCCTAGAGAACTAGAAAGTAAAAACGTAGTCCTCGCCTGGAGGCAATCTAATCAGATCTTCAGTTCCTTCCTTTTCATATAACATGTAGAGAGACATCAGGTGAAACAAGCAGAGTAAAAACAAACTCTCAAAAAATTAAAAATTCCACTCCTGTAGCAGAAAATCAGTTTGGTCATTCAAGCAGGTGAGCATTTGCATTTTTCTTTATTTTTTTATTTCAGCTTGATTGAGGTATATTTTCATGTATTTTTAAATGGCTCCTCTTATATGAAGAATATCTGTTCTCAAGAAATAATCTTAAGGAGAAAGAAGGCTATCTTCCTAAAAGAGTACAACTTTGGACCAAGGATGGGGCAAATATCAGACTCTCCCAGACTCACATAGCCTGTCTCCCCATGTCTCCCAGAAGGTTATCAAACACCTCACACAGCCCCAAACACAGGCATGCCCCTCCCTGCCACACACACAGGATCTGGATGGGGCTGAGATAGTCCACTGCACAGATAGAGCCAAGCTGAGGATACTCAGTCCTGGCCTTTCACATCAGAGTTAAATGCATAATGACAGAAGCAGACCATAGCCCCAGGCTACTTCATTCACTCACTTAAGCCCAAAAGGAAACCAAACATTTTCAGCAAGATAAAGCTCTTAGAATCCCTAGCCCCATTTGCCAAATTAGAGAACCCATGCTTAACTCTCAGACCCCACGACCTTTCATCTCAAAACTCAGCACATCAGAGCCCATCAGCATTTCTCTCCGGAATGTGTCCCTGGCCCCAGCCCCAGGCCTCAGCCCTGGCCCAGCCCCATCCAGACAACTACCTGAGACAAAGGAATAGGCTGCTAGGATGTTGCTGAGTAAAGCCATTTCTGCAGGCTCCCAATCACCGGCTCCGACACCGTGCTGTGGCAGAAGCGCGGCCTCCACGTGGCATCCGGAGCGCCTCCTGGAGAAGCTGGAGCTGGATCAGTGGGGCCCCTCCCTCTTCTCTTCTGTTTGGGAACACAAAGTGAGTGATGAGAACACATTCTGCTTCCCTGCAGCTGTGTGCCAGGTAGCCTGGGCTCAAGACTGGGAGCCAGCTTCTTAAATTCCAGCCAGCCTTCCCAGCCAGGGATCTGGGGTCTGATCCTCTCTGCTCCACCCAGCTTCTTGGCTTTCAAGGATGCGGCGCCTCCTTACGTCTCTGTTTTTCCTTTCTCCTTTCTCTTCCCCACATCCTCCCAACTTCCCATTCAGCACTTCTCCGGCACCTTTTCCTGCTACTTTTTATTGCATTCTCCCTGTTTGCCTTGGAGGCACAGCCCATTGTCCTGTTAATCACTGCACTGTAACCCCAAGCCCGGCCTGCTCCTCACCTGGCTCTGCTCCCATGCACTGATAGCACCTGTGTGCTTTGATCCCCTTGCCTCATCCCACGGGTCACCAAATGTGTGCCCTTGGCAATGGGTCTGAGTTGGCTACTCCAGCCCTGCTGACATGGCCACAAGGACTTGGGAGGTCAGACCTGCTCCCTGCCCCCAGCTCCACAACTCCACCTGTGACTGCAGTGGGCCAGCCAAACACATCTGCATCGCCGCAGACTGCCCACCGGCAGAACTATGCCACCCGGGCTCAGACCACAGACTTAGAATCTCAGTGTTCAGTGTCTGGGGGGGGGGCACATTATCTCCCTAGCTGCAGGATTATCAGTACTCAGTTCATTCAGAGAAGCCCTCACAGAGAGATCCTGAGGATGGAAGGGGAGACAAGTGGCAAAGATCTTGATGACACGTATTTAGTTCAGACCCATTCACTCCTAACTATCCCCACTCATTCTACCATAGAGCAAATCTCATTACTTCATTTCTGGAAAATTTACAACAGTCTCCTTCCTGGTCCTTCTGCCAGCATCTACTTCTTGCTCAATCTACCACCCACTCTCATCAACAGGGTAATCTTTATAAAGTACAAATTTGATCACCTCACTCCACAGCCCAGTTGTTCAACTGATCCCCATTAAACTTCTTAATACAACACATACCCACTTCCACAATATCTGACTCTTACCTTAGCTCCTAATTCATCTCCTATCTAAGTCTACACCCATACACATACACAGAGATACAAGCATGCTTAATGTTCCAATAATATCAGATTTTTTTTAAAGATTTTTATTGGGGAATTGGGGGATGGGAACAGTGCTGGGGAATTGGGGGAAGGGGAACAGACAAGTTGCTGTCCCTTTGTTCTTCAGTCTAGTTGTGGAGGACGTTGCTTCACTGGCCCAAGCTGGCACCATCATTGCGCTCTTCCTGGGCGAGGCAGATCAGTCGCTGGCTTCTGGACGGCCGCTCACTGTGGCTGCTGGCCGCTCACGCTGGCTGCTGGCTACACATGGTAGCACACGGCAACCCACTGCCACAGGGGCTGCAGCCTTGGCCGTCGCCGGTGACTCACGGCAGCCCAGCTCCAGGTCGAGCTGTTGTTCAGCATCCCAGCTGCAGAGGGCAGTGTCACTGGCCCTCATATGTGGGATCTGAACTGGGGCCCTCTGGTGTCCCAAGCCAACTCCCAACCAACACACCACTAGGCCGGCCCCAGATTATTTTTAATTCCCCAAATACACCAAGCCGTTTTATCTGTCCATGCATTTGATTTTGCTCTTCCTTTTGCCTAAAATGCCTCCCTCCCCGTATCTGTCTGGCAAGTGCGTCCTTTAGAGAGAATTCAAAAGTCCTATGGCAGTCCCAAAATCCCAATGACTTCTTTTGCAGAAATAGAAAAATCCATACTAAAGCTCATATGGTGTTTCAAGGAATCCCAAATAGCCAAAAGAATATTAATGAAAACCGAAGTTAGAAGTCTCACACTTCCTGATTTCAAAACTTATTGCAAAGCTACAGTAATCAAAATAGTGTAGTACTGGCATAGACAGACATACAGATCAATGGACTAGAGAGCCCAGAAATGAACCCTTACATATATGGTCAATGATTTTCAACAAGGGTACCATGACCATTCAATGAGGAAAGAACAGTCTTTTCAACAAATAGTGTTGAGAAAATTGGTATATATCTACATGCAAAGAATAAAGTCGGACCCTTACCTCATACCATACTAAAAAATTAACTAAAAATGGATCAAAGACCTAAATGTAAGAGCTAAAACTATAATACAAAACCCTTAGAAGAAAACATAGGAGAAAAGCTTAATGACATTGGATTTAGCAATGATTTCTTAGATATGCCACCAAAAGCACAGGCAATATAAGGAAAAATTGATAAGTTGGACTACATCAAAATTTAAAAGTCCTGTGCATCAAAGGACACAATCAACAGAGTGAAAAGGCAATCCACAGAATGACAGAAAATATTTGCAAATCATATATCTGATAAGGGGTTAATATACAGACTATATAAAGAACTTCAACTCAACAACAACAAAAACAACCTGATCAAATAAATGGGCAAAGAACTTGAATAGACATTTCTCCAAAGAAGATATACAAATGGCCAATAGTACATGAAAAGATGTTCAACATCACTAATCACTAGGGAAATCTAAACCAAAACCATGAGATATCACCTCACACCCAATAGGATGGTTACTATAAAAAATAAAATAAGGGCCGGCCGAGTGGCACGTTGGATAAGAGCTGGCTTGGGACTCCAGAGGGCCCCGGTTCGGATCCCACATATGAGGGCCAGTGACACTGCCCTCTACAGCTAAGATGCTGAACAACATCTCAACCTTGAGCTGGGCTGCTGTGAGTCGCCCTGGACGGTGTAGGCTGCAGCCCCTGCTGCAGTGGGTTTGCCATGGGCTACTGTGTGTAGCCAGCAGCCAGCATGAGTGGTCAGCAGCCGCTGTGAGCAGCCGTTGTGAGCGGCCATCCAGAAGCCGGTGACCAGCCTCACCCAGGAAGAGCGCAATGATGGTGCCAACTTGGGCCAGTGAAGCAACGTCCTCCACAACTAGACTGAAGAACAAAAGGACAGCAACTTGTCTGTTCCCCTTCCCCCAATTCCCGAGCACTGTTCCCAGCCCCCAATTCCCCAATAAAAATCTTAAAAAAAAAAAGTAAATAAAATAAAAACATCCCTCCAAACAAACAAACAAAAAAGAAAATAACTGTTGAAAAGGATATGAAGATACTGGACTCCTCGTACTGTTGATGGAAAGGTAAAATTGTGGAATCGCTATGGAAAACAGTATGACAATTTCTCAAAAAATTAAAAATAGAATTACCATAAGACCCAGCAATTCCACTTCAGGGTATATACCCAAAAGAATTGAAAAGAGGAAGTTGAACAGCTATTTGTACATCGATTATTGTGTAGCATTATTCCCAGTAGCCTAAAGGTAGAATCAATCAAAGTGTCTATCCACAGATGAAATAATAAATAAAATGTGGTAGATACATTAATGGATTATTACTCTCAGCCTTAAAAAGAAAGGAAATTCTGACACATGCTACAACATGGATGAACCTTGAGGACATTATGCTAAATGAAGTAAGATATGACAGTCGCAAAAGAACAAATACTTTATGCTTCTACTTATACAAAGTATCTAGAATAGTCAAATTCAAAGAGACAGAAAGTAGAATGGTAGTTGTCAGTGGTTGGGGGAATGGGAAGTTATTGTTTAATGGATACAGAGTACAAAGTTTCAGTTTCGCAAGATGAAAATTATTCTGGAGATGATGCTGGTGATGGATTGCACAACAATATAAATGTACTTAATGCCACTGAACTGTACACTTAAAAATGGTTAAAATGGTAAATTTTGTTATATGTATTTTATCGCAATTTTTAAAATTAATAATAATAAAGTCTAAGTAAAAGATGTTAGTATACTTATTAAAGAAATTAGAAAGTAATTGTAATCTATTACCTTTACAGATTAACAGGAAAAACATATCACATCAATAGATGAAAAAATGTGTTTGTGTAAAATTATATAAAAATCCACGATTAAAAAAAAAAAAGTCTATTGCAATAAAGCTCCAAATCCTCCAGACTCTTTTCTTTGTCTATCAAAGTATCCAAATATTCTTTTAATATTGCACCTGTGTATTATAATTAGAATTAACTGTTTACATGTTTGTCTCCCAGACTGAAGAGGCACCTTATAAATCCTTGTTACCCCAGCACCTAACATGGTGCCTGATGAAAGGAGATTCTCAGTAAATCCTGGCTGACTGGCTAGATGAAACAAAAAAGAATAATTAGACAAGAGCTTTGTATGCATAAGTCTCAGAGCGTATTTCTGAACAGGTCTGAAGGTGAGCCACCTTGAAGATGAAAAGGATACCAGGGCTGACTGGCTCTGAACAGGGTGCCAAGCAGAGTAGGACTAAGAAAGGGCCACATGCAAGATGGAAGCTGTACTGTGGCATGGAAGCTTCCTGCAAGCTGCCTCATGCCCCCAGGTGCTAATGGAAAGGGCTCCAGAGGCAGAGGCGAGAGGTAGAGTGAGAAAGAAGGCAGGCCGAGGGTAAGGAAAGACAACATTTGGATACTCTCTATCCTAAACAGCAATCAGGAAGACTCTCCATGGCCCACGTGGCACAAGTCAGCCTAGAGCAGGGGTCAGGGCATCTTTACTATAGAGGCCAGAAAGTAAATATTTCAAGCTTTGAGTCACTATCTCAACTACTCAACTTTGCCATTGTATAAAAGCCACCACAGACAACATGTATTGGGTTGTCAGAAAAGTCATGACGTATTTTTTCTCTGTTTTTCGTTACAAAACTGCATCATGACTTTTCCAACAACCCAACAAACAAACAAGTGTGACTGTGTTCCAATAAAACTTTATTTCTGAAAATAGGTGGTAGACCCAGTTTGGCCCATGGACCATCGTGGGCCGACCTCTGGCCTAGTTTTTATTACTCAAAGTATGGCTCAAAAACCAGCAGCATTGACATCACCTGGGAGTTAATTAGATCTGCATAATCTTAGGTGCCACCCAAGACCTTCAGAATGAGATATACTCATTTTACAAAATGCCTACTAGAGTTTGCAAAGTTTTGTGCGTCACCTCTGTGACCCCCTTCAGTCTGAGCATTAAGATACTGGAGGGGGTTCACGCAGTGTCTCCTTTATAAATCTGATCTGGGTAGGACAGCAAGGCCTTGCTGGCCTTGCCAAACAGTCATTTCTCCAGGTTACAGAGCACCTTAGTGAGGACACAGGGACCGAGGTCAGGACTCGGCAAAAGAGATTGTGTTCAGGATAGGTGCCAATGAGACAAGATCTGCAGAAGTTAGAGCAGTGATGAACCCCAGAGCCAAACTCTTGTCCCGAGTCCTCCCTTAATAGTGATGGATCAGCTCCAGGTAGCTGTGGACACTTTCCACTGGCCTTCTGATTAAAACATTTGTGCATCTCTTACTATGATGGTTAATTTTATAAGTTAACTTGACTGGCCACAGGGCATCCAGGTTAAACATTATTTCTGGGTGTGTCTGCGAGGGTATTTCCAGATGAGATTGGGATTTCAACTGATGGACTCACAAAAGTAGATCACCCTCCCCAATGTGGTTGGGCATCCTCCAACCTGCTGAGGGCGTGAATAGAACAAAAGGTGGAGGAAGAAGGAATTTGCCCCTTTTTTCTGCCTTACTGTTTGATCTGAGACACCCCATCTTATCTGATCTTCTCCAGCCCTCAGATGGGGCTTTACACCATCCACTGCCCTGGTTCTCAGGCCTTTGGACTCAGTCTGAAACTACACCACCAGCTTTTCTGAGTCGCCAGCTTGCAGATGGCAGATCCTAGGACTTCTCAGCCTCCATAATCGCAAGAGCCAATTCCTCATAATATGTTATTTAAGATGTTATCTTAAAATGTGTATACATTTTTTGGCACCCTCTGTGTGTGTGTGTGTGTGTGTGTGTGTGTGTGTGTGTGTGTGTGTATACACATATATATGTGTATATATATGAAAAACTATATTAAAATTGTAATACTCAATATATACTGATAACAAAAGATGAACACAAGTCATGTGTATACATTTTTTTGGCACCCCTGGTATGTGTGTGTGTGTGTGTGTATATATATATATATATATGCATTCCATTGGTCTGTCTCTCTGGAGAAACCTGACTAATACATCTACCAATATAAAGGTAAGGGGCCTGAAGCACTCATGCACCCCCAAAAACAATTTTGTGTTCCGTTCCTCAAGGAAGCTCCTTATTACTGGCTAGCTCCTATAACAGTGATTCTCCACTCTGGGTATTTTGTCCTCCAGGGGACATCTGACAATGTCTGCAGACATTTTTGGCTGTCACAGTTGCAGTGGGGGTTGATATGACGTCTAGTGGGTAGGGTTCAAGGGTGCTTCTAAACATCCTACAATGCACAACAGCTCCCTACAGATAGCAAAGAGCTATCTGGCCCAAAATATTAATGTATTGAGGTTGAGAAACCCTGTTTTAGAACAAACATCATTACTTCACTGACCAGTCTAAGCATTCTCAGTGTTTATGAGCCTCATGCACATCACCAATATAATACACTCCCAGCAGCCTTCATCAGGACACCATAGGTCCAAGGCCTAGGCCAGCAACTTAATGATCCCAGTGATCAGAAGTGAATGGGCTCTGGGAGAACAGCCACCTTAACCAAGCCCTCAAGAGAACACATCAACCACTATCAGCTCATTAATTCATAACTAGAGAGCCACCTGGCACAAGATCTAGATCAGATCGTCTTCTAGACAAGTTGACCCTGGGGATTATCTTGATGAGGACAAAATTAGGACGAAGGAGTTGTATATTCTCAAAGCCTGGCCTTTCTTCCAGTGATAACCCATGGGATTATTAATCCCACATTATTCTAGGGAAAAATCATGTCTTAGAGAACACTCCAGGGCCAGTCAATCAGCATTGCAGCACACTCTTTTTGAACAGAGCCTACCAATACTTATTAATTTTACTCTCCAACAGCTTTCTTTCATCCATGACCCAAAGCTCCTTTGCCGAATTACTGACAAACTGCAACACGACTGAAAAGAGATAGCTTCTTTCCATGATTTACATCACAGAAATTTGTCTTCCTGAACACATGCTGGTCTCTTGATGAAGAGAACAGCCTGTCTTATGAGCACCACCTCTTAGGCTGAATAGCTAATTGCATGCATTGTACGCTGTTTTTCACTAGCTTTTATTTTAGGGGTAACCTCATTTCCACTGCTGCAAATTCATTTTCTCTGGAACCCATTTATACCAAGTGGAATCACTGAATGTATAAATGAAATGTGCCTGGTGATGATACATTTCATTTTAAATTGCAGTAGCAGCAGTGAGCATTCCTGGTATTAAGCGCCCATGCAGGGAACTATCTTATTACATAGTATGCAGAAAGTGGTAAAAAAAAACAAAACCCAAAAATCTCATTATTTCCTTAGCTACCTGGGGAGAGGTGTGCTGTCAGGAACAGAGGAGTCTCTGGCAAGAACAGTTCATCCCGGGTGATGTTGGTCTCAGGCAGTACAGGTTTTGAATCTTGGTTGGCTCAAGTTGGCTTCTTAGGATCTGCAAGAAAAGAGACATGGCACAAAAATCATCAGAGGGCATCACAAGCCCAGATCACATCATGCATTAGACCTGGTGTCGTCATGAGTGGCTAAGGAGATCAGCCTTGGTGACATTTATCTGGATCCCTGAAGAGATGGAATACCATCCCCGGAGAGGATACAGCCCGCTGCCAGAGTATAATCTGGAACTGGAACCAGCCAGCCAGAGAAACCAGTCTTCCCAGGTCATGGCAGAAAGGGAAGCAAGGGGTAAAGATCAAAGACACATGCTTCCGTTTCCCCCCAGTCAGCCAAAACCCACAGAAGAGCTAGAATGGGAAGTGTCCACATGGCCCCTCTTCAGTGAAGCTTTCAGGCCAGCCTTTCTGGAACAGGAAGGGAGGGGATTTGGTTCCCAGACATCAATGCCCAGATGAGCCATGAAATGAAGTCTCATGAAGTCTGTGTGGGCACCAAAAAACCTGGAAATGCTGATATGTGGATTCCCACAGCCAGTCCCTTTCATTGAGAAATTTCAGGGCTTCTTCTTACTCAGCTAGGGAAGCCACTGGGGCCCCTGAGAGGCCTGGATCCCACACAGCTCCTTTATGTTGCCAGCTTCATTTAGAAGTGTGTAGAAATCAGTCACAGAGCTCACAGAGCCCTGAGCAGTCCCTCTGCACCACACGTACACACTCATTCATTCATTGTCACTGCTTCCTGCTGACTCCTGCAGCATCCGACTGCTGCTGGTTTATTTACATCTTTATAGATACTTATCCCAGCTGCCTCTGCCTCACAAAGGACTTGAGACACCTTCCTATCTTCATTTTACTGGTGAAGAAATTAAGGGCAAGAAAGAAAAGGAAACTTGAAGCACAGGACCAGTAGTTCTTTAGAGACTCATGTGCCAAAGCATGAAAGCAGCTCTTTGAGATGCATGCACCCTCCACTCTACACCAATTAAAACCACCCTAAGGACTGACCCCAGCATGGTCACACAGTTTGAGATGCAAAGGCGTCAGTGGAAAATAGCTCCCACATCACAGGATGGGGAGAGGATACACATGGCCCAAGAGAAATGACTGAGCAGAGAGAAACTCAGTTTTCTCTGAAGGACTGACAAACACCTGTGAATGACATAGCCAACATACTGGCCTGCCAGTTGATGGGCTTCCTTTACTCTGTCAACTTCCCCTCCAACCCACGGCAGCAAACCATTTCCAGAGACATATCCTTGATCTTGTAGTCACTTGCAAAGTATCAACTCTGAAATCTGGGCTGTGAACTCTCTAAGGACAGAGACTATGTCTTCATTCTCTTTTTTTCCCCAGACTCTCCCACAGTAAGTGCACAGAGCTGACAATGAGTGACAGCTAGATGAATGACTCACACTGAGATATCCCACTCTCCAACAGAAAGTTCTATCCTTCTAGAGGAAATTAAAGAGAAGACAATGTTTCATCTGGGGAAAACTTGGAGGAGATTCTGAGAGTTTTCTTTTTCCATAATATGACGAAATTATACAAGAGAAATTGGACTTTGTGTGGCACCAGGAAACAGAACACAGGTTGATGTAGGGAAAAGGGCACAAGCTTCAGCATTGAGTAGATGGGAGCTTAAACCTGAGCTCCACTCTTTCCTATCTTAAGACTGGACAAGTTAATTGACTCTCTGACTTTCTGTTTCTTCATCATTAAAATGAGGCTTAAGATGCCAACCTCAATCCATCAATCAGCATCTAAGCAGAGAAACAGAAGCTGCTTCAAGTATTTGCAACAGAAGGAATTTAATGCGGGGAACTGGTTGCATTGATAAAGTAGAAATAGAAGTTGAAGGTGATAGGGAAGCTAAGATTTGCAGGCTACTGCAATAGATGACAAAGCCAAGAGTTTGACGGAATGAAGGGAGGAAATAGTGTTAGCAGAGAGCCAGGATCACCAGGACAAAGGAAAGAGGCAGTGTTACCCAGGAGCCAGGGTCATCAGGAGGAATCTGGAGCCATGGAGGACTCAAAACAGTGGGAGCTGAAACCATGGAGAGGCAGACACTACTGGAGGAGATGCTTGATGAAGAGAGAGGGAAGATATACTATGGTTTCCTCCTTTCCACTCTCCCCAATTTCCCACTGGTGCCTCCATTGGCCAAACCTAGAAGGAAGTCAGAGCATCCTTGAGCCTGCGAAAGGCAGCCTCCAGGTCAGCCCCTCTATCCAGGGCAGAGCAGGAATCAGAGACAAGCGGACCGAGGGCTGGCATACTCACAGGGCATCTGAGGATGCAGAACATGTAAGGCCTAGCACATAAATGGTAATCCTTTTATGTGCCAAAGTTATATGATGGTCATTTTGAATGATATTTTCTCACTACTTTATATCTGAATATATAGAAACACAAGTTTGGCTCATGCCACATGGACTCTGCCAAGAATGCTTATTTTTTTCCAAATGAGCAGCATATCTGAGAAATGTGAAAAGCAGCCCTGTCCTAACATTTCACTGTATAAAGCAAATGTTGAGTTTCCACAGCTGCTGGCTTCAGCCTACCCAGAGGAATAGTTTTAGTGAAATATTAATCTTTGAGAAAGACACTGGGGTAAGACTACACAGTAATCCAACCAGCATGTGCAAAATTTATTTAGTGTTGGCCAGGAATGGATTTAATTATGTGAAGTCTTCAGAACGAGAAGAAAGTGATTGAAGATGTTTGACTAAATCACAGAGGCTCTGGATGCTACCAGCTCTCTCCCCAGTTTCAGTGTATTTCCACAGCCCTCAATCCATAAACACAAAGAAACTCTCAAGGAATGGGAAGATGGCACTGTCAGAACCAAGGTGTGACCAGCGGCAAAAACAACGAAGACAAGAAATATCAGCACCACCGGTCCAAAGACCCCCAGTGTAGTATGAAGGTCAGGTGTCCAGTTGTGGAAGAACAGCCAGGGTAGAAATGAAGAAGGGGTGAGACTCCAAAGGAGTGTTCAAAACCTGGAAGGCAGGATGCAAGATGCTTTCATCAGTGGTCATAGGTGAGTACAAGGTGCAGTGTGTGCTGTGCACCTGCTGGACAGTTCACGTTTCCAGGAAGTTATTGATGCGGTCTTAGTGTTGAATTTGAAGTAGCACCTGGGTATAAGAAGGAGGCCAGGGCCCATCCCTGAGGATAATACAGGCACTGGAGACGGGGCCTTGCAGGAAAGAGTTGAGCCAACCCTATGGGACCAGAAGCCACAAAGTGTCCCCTAGGTTGGTGGAACAGATAGAAAAGCCAGGGAGTTATCTTTAAAGACTAGCTGTTAGCCTTTGGGTTCTGTCCATGGGTATCAGAGCCCTGGCACCAGCCTAGGGGCAGGGGTTTCTGTCCTGGAAAGGCCTCTACAAGTGAGAACATCAGAAAGGGGACACAAATTTGAAAAGAAGACAAGCAAAAGCTGGTCCTGTGAGGCAGAGCACATGGCTGGGGATGGACAACAATGGCCTCATGACCAGCCCTAGGTTGGCCCATCAGGGCTGATCCCTGATATCTATGCCCAGAGGGTCAGGTCTCAAGGATTTAGTGCTTCAAGTCAGATAAGCCTGGGCAATAGAGGAGGGCTGGTCCTAGCTGAAAGGGGAGTCTGGAACACTGAGGTTGGATGAGGGCAGAACGGGATTCTCCATTTGGATTTCCCAAAGATCTCTCCAGCCCAAAGTGTCCTAAGTTCATTCCCTCCACCAATATGCTTCCTTTTAATTTCTAAGCCTCCCAATCACTCCAGCTCAAAGTTGGGGGTCACCAGGGACCCTTCCTCTCTCTTGCCCTGAAAATTCAATTCTCATGTCCATTCTAACTCTCCATCCCCGCTACCACTCACCTAACTCAGGAGTTCCTCCCTTTGCTTCTCCCTCTACCCCAATATCATGTATTGGTACCAGATGGAGCATTCGGAATCTCCTCTAATAATGCCACACCTCTGTTCTAAAATTGTCACCTAACAGTAAAATTCAAATATGAGCTGTAAATGTTAGCTCTTCATGGGTTCTTCCCAATTCTTCCAACACAGTCCAATGTCTAAGCAAACGGAAGAGCCCTCTTCTCCATACACTTCCTACCTGAGTCTACCTCTGGGTTTTGCTCTTCTGAATGCATTTCTCTACATGATTGCATTTCTGGGTCCTACCCGCCCTTCAATATCTGTGTCACATCCTATCCTGCAAGAACATTCTATGATCCCCCCCTGCATACATAATTGTTCCCTCTTTTGGACTCCCATAATCCTGTGTGCGAATCTTTTGCAGACAGTAAAAGTATGTGCTTTATACATATATTTGTATTGGGCTATGGGCTCTCTGAGAATAGGGGCCTTACATCAGATTCTCCTTCATGGAGGAGGCGTAGGCAGACCCAAGAATGCTGAGTTTGGCCAGCTTGAAAGAAATGTGAAGAAGTTTGGGAGAATAACTTGGGAAAGGGAGATTAGAGTAATTTGAGATCTTGGAATGATAATTAAAGACATTTCAGAGTCATCAGCGGAAGTATGAAAATAGATGAGGTAACCCTTACAAAGAATAACAAATATAAAGGAAAGGCCCATGGCTGAACCCTGGAGAAAACCAGTGTTAGCCGCTGGAGAAGGAAGAAATTGTCATGGAGACGGGCAGGAAGTGGTCAGACAGAATCACAACCTTCATACCACACTGGCATGGAAAGAATTTCTGCCCTGTTGGTCAGCAACATCAACATGTGCTTGAATAAGTCTGACAAAATCCTGTGTGGCTTTCTCTCTAGAGCTGCATGTAGGGCAGGACATACTGGCAGACCAGTGGATCCTTCATCCAGGCCCTTATAAAGGCGATCGATCCGCTTGCCATTTTATCCCTAACCAGTGTTCAAGTAACGGCTTCAGTCTACTATCAGTGGGGCCTCCCAAGTCCAGCATATCTGGGGCATCTGCAAATGTGGACTCACAGAAATAATGCCCAACTGAGGAACACGCAAATGGGAACAAGAAGATTCCTGGTCCCTGATGCTTTTCTGTTTC